AGAAGATTCAGTTCCATCTACTATTGCATTAAAATCCCCTGCCACCATCCAAGGAATCGATGCATCAATCTTATCTTTAAGCTCTTGATATACTTGCTGTCTTTCCACAACCTCGTTCGATCCATAGACAAACATAAAATGAAAAGGCCTGCTCCCAGAAGTAACCCATGGACGTAGAAACCATTGCTTTCTAAAACCCTAAACTGTATCTCCTCCCTCCATACTGCCCATATTCTGCTCACTCCTGCAACTGAGTAAGTATCTTTATACTCCCAGCTTGGGAATTTCTCACAAATAATTTTCTCCACCTTATCTGAACTAACTCTAGTCTCCAGAATCGCCACCATCTCCACCTTATACCTACGAGAAAATTCAACGATATTCTCTTGTTTATCAGGGCTATTAAAACCCCTCTGATTCCACACTAGAACATTCATGAGTTTACTGAATTTTTTACCCTTTTCGGAGGCCGACGTGGTTTACCTTTCTTCTTGTTCTGGCCTTCTTTCCCCAATTAAGGAAATTGGGCCAAATCCTTAATCGGAATCTCCCCCACTTCAAACTGTGCAAGAGATGAAAGAACTTCAAAAGAATTACCATTGGAGGGGAGACTAACTGTTGTAACTGCTGGCTGGAACTCATTGTCAGAAGGAAGACTGCTCTTCCAAGGAGTCATTATAGCCAGTGAATAATTCAGATTCTCCATATCTCTCTGCAACCCAGAAACATATTCCTCAGCTTCAGACTCCTTAACCCAATAACAACACTTTCTAGCTCCCCATTTACTGCTTCCGCCTCACTCCTGACAAATGCATTCGCACTACCAGTGGCCTGATCTTCCACAACATATGCTAATACCTCCTGAGCTAGGACCTCCTCCTGGGCTATCTCGTTCTCCTGTTCACATTTGTGGCCAAATCTACAACACTTTGCACATATTTCAGGCTTATTACAGTTGTCTAACCCAACATAATAAGCAGGACAACGATCAGGAACAAGCCGCAGCAACTCTGGGAATACCGAGCCTACCCCCATCTCCACACTAACACGAGGATAACCTAGTCTCTGCCCTAGCCGAGTAGACTAATCGAACCAGAGAGGACGTCCGATCATACTCGCAAGACGCGTAAGAATTCGCCCAGTGAAATGATCAAGTGGCAGATCCAGAATACGTACCCAAATAGGAATCGTCGCTCGAGGTTGTTCAGCTCTTATGCCTGACTCCCATTTCCTCAAGTAGCACATATGTTCCTCAGATGCCATGGCCCGCTCGAGAAAACCCCGTGAGCTATTTCTAGATTCGGAAATTGGAAAAGAAGTAATCGCTCGCCAATCCATAAAACCCTAATTTGGCCCTTCTTTCCCCAAAGTCGGTTCGCCCACGACTGGACTTGACGAACATGGGGAGAGGAGGAGAGAAATTGGCCTACCAAGCAGCTCTGCCATCGTGCAATTCCTTCGTCTTCCAATTCAGCTGGGATGCGAAGACCTCCATCCACAAGTTCCGGCTCCACATACACTAGGCGATTCTCCTCAGCTATGCCGAAGAGATCCGCCCAAGATCTTCCCGGCATCTGCAAATTCGAATCCATTCCTCACTCCCTCATATTAGCTTGAAAATTAATGGCACCACCGCACAGGAAGAGCAAGTAGTGATGCAAACCACCGCGCAGGAGGCGCTAATTCTACCCTCCTTATCTATCCTCCATTGAGGACAATGTCGTGCTTAAGTGTGGGGGTGTTCCATTATGGTTGCGTGTGAATGTTTGGTTGTCTGTGTGTGTTTGGAGCCTAGTCCACTGTCCAAATCGTCGATTTGAGGGCTCCAAGTACTTGTCTCCTTGCAAATAGCTTGCTCAGTATGCTTTTAATTGACAATCTTTATGGTATAATGCAACCTAGGGAGATAGTTGTAGCACTATGGAGCATGGTGAAGTATAAGCTCTGACCTATTTTTCTCTTTGATGTGTCGGTTGATTGTGTGAACTAGTGGCTTTAGGATAGTTGATTCATGTGGTATCAATGACTCATCTTGTGTTATGTTGTGGACTCATGTATCGTAAAAGGTGGCTCAGTTGTGCGTAATTGGAAGCAGTTGGTCCTCCATGTTGGAAATTTTTAAGATTTGAAACATGGGGTAAGCCCAACGTGTGTGGCACCGTTCATTACACAAAATCAGGTTTGAGAAGAGATCTTAGTGATCCTTGGTGAGTTAGGCCTACAAGGTGAAGCTAAGCCGTCTCTAGTACAAGTAAAAATTACGCCCATGAAACAGTTTGCCTACTCGAGGATGTGTTTTTAAGGGCACGGATAGAGCTTCCGACCCCCCTTAATTTCATTGACCCTCCACACGAGTTGAGGAAAAGGAGTTATGAGAAGTACTCTGGCGATCGACAAAAGTACAGAAATTGCTCTTGCTCAACCAATAAGGGTCGACCACGCATAAAAATTGCAGTTTGGAACCCCAACAAAGTGTATAAGCGAACAACAAAAGGAAAAGGGGTTCCAACGAATGAAATGGAATGGAAGAGCACCCGGTACGAAGAGTCCTTGCTAGTTGTGTTATGTGAAGTCTCTTTGTCCATGAATTGTCTCTCTTAGGTCTGCTACTTCGCATGATCCTGACTTGAGTCTAGAACTTGCATTTGAGAGAAATAGGGCATGCCTAAAATACATTGACCTCGTAAGCTGTTAAATGACCTAGGAATTCCTCTAACGACGATCGGAGTTACGTGTTGCTGTCAAAGTATGGAGAGTTGCATTAGTTTGAGTTAGGTTTGCTTGGGGCAAGCAAATAGTTAAGTGTGGGGGAATTTGATAACACGATATTTACACATGTGTACACCTTCATTTCTTGATCAATTTGGCTTTGATTAGTGTTCTCCTTTGCCTATTTTACACTAGGTTGTATTATTTTTTCATACTTCAGGTCCTAGCGAGTAAAGCGCAAGTTTCGGTCAATCAGAGGTTGTTTGGTCACTCAAAAGCCTCTCAAAACTGATGTTGAGGAAGAAACACAGGCAAGCTCTCCACAAAGCATGGTCGTGTTTCATCTGGCACTAGCCAGTGTTTATTATGTCGAGCATAGTGACTATCCAGGAGCAAACACGGGCATACCTCCTAAAAACACGACCATGTTTCTGCCATCTCCTCGAGTATAAGTGTTTTCTGCGATTTTTTAGGGGGGGGGGGAGCTGGGTTTTGGAACCCAAACACCAAAGGGACGAACCAAAGAGAGAGAGGGCGGTCTAGAGCCATTCTTGGAGCTATTTTGGAGGATTCTTCACCATTGAAGCTCAAGGAACAAGTCTAGACATGAAGATTGAAGATATGGAAATTTATACTGCAATCTCTCTCTTCTCTATAGAGTAACTTCGTCTCATTTAGGTTTTGAGGAACCCTAGTCCCATGTGTTTGGATCTTTCTTATTAGAAACTTTGGATGTTATACTGAATGGTTTTAATCGATTGAGGCATGATTGTTGAGTTAATTGAATCCTAAATCACTTTCTTTTGATTTCTGCTTTAACCTATGATAGATAGAATCTGATTAGGTTAAGAGAGTTTTCTCAATTTGTAGGAGTGAATTGATTGTACGAGAGTCAGTCAATTCATTGCTTTGTACTGGAATTCATTCCAGTAGTGGAAATCTTTGTGTATTGCCTTAGCTTTGTACTCCGGTGGAGGTTAGTCGCCCGCCGGGTATTCTATCTAAGAGTGCTTGGTAGGTTAAAATATTCCAAGTTATTATCGGATGTTCTGCAGTTTAATCAACAGTAAGGCAACCAAAGGGAATTACAAGTTGGACCTAATTGAGGAGCTAGGGGGAATCATACCTGAGTGAGTTCCAACCTATAACTAGATTAACTTTAACTATAGTGTTAGAGTAGTTATAGTTCTTCTATCTTAATCTGTTTTGCTAGATAATGAACTGAAGCTGAGTAATAGTAACTCTAGAGACCCGTGGATTCGATATTTATTACTTGTGACATTATATTGCAGTCCCTTTCATTGGTTACACTTGGCCATTGTCAGGAGTTGTGTTTTAGTGAGTCATTAGACAAGCAAAATACTTAAAACAAATGGCAAATGCGTACTCAAATTCCCTTTTTATGAATGTGAAGAAAGAACAAACGCCAGCGCCAAACCAAGCCTCGCCCGACAAAGATCGAAGGATCCAGAAACATGAACACTAAGACAAGGGATATAGGGTGACAGAGTGGAAACAAAAAATTTAACCGGTAACTGCAAACCATAAGATGTCATTGTGTATCACCGAGCTACAAAAATTAAACGAGCAACCTCTTGCCTAAGATCCATCAATCTTCCATGTGAGAACGAGCCATTCCACCAATACTCAAATCCCTAACTCCCTCCTATATTCTTCCTTAACTTAACCTACACCATTCAAATTCATCTGTGGTGAGGAAGTTCGTCGCCTTATGTCCAAGCTCGCGAGTAGCCACCGCAACATGATGGAACTGAAGTCGCCCGTCTATCTATCTCTGCTTCTTAGGATTTGGGGCTGGAGCGGCGAGCCCCAGCTGTCAATTGGGGGAGTGAATTTGATTTGCTAGGGTTTCAAAGAGACAAAGAGAAATAGATAGGGGTCATGAGTAGGAAGAATGAAGGAGTCGGGGAAAGGAAAACTATCTCAAAGAAAATAATAATTTATTCTGATTGAAAGCATCGTCATAACCTTCAGAGACTACAAACCTTTCATTCTGGTTGAACCACCAAAATTTTCGGGTTTTGATTGGATGTGTCTGGTTTTTGTCGGATTCGACCACAACGATGATATTCCAATCATTTTTGTGACCAGTACCAATTGAATTGGGCACAAGTAGTGGTTGGCATACCGCCAGCATGACAACCATACTAATTAGTAATTACCCCAATGTCGAGTCCCTTATGCTTCCCTTTACAGGGCCATGTATGCAGGATTAGGAAATGGTCACATTGACAAATTATTTCACTAGCATCTCAACAACTACATTAATTATACTTCAATAATTAAGCCTTAATGAATTAGATCCCAAAACCAAACTAATTAAATGCTCCAACTCCCAGCCTTAGTACATATTTATTATCATACATATTAAAAACCAAATGAAAGGCTAACCGAAAGGGAAAAACAGCAGCAAGAGCAACAACGAAATGTCGTCTAATCGTCAGCTCACATAGTGATAAAAACATTTCTCATGCACTCCCGTGGTTTACACAAAGCTTTTAGTGGCTCGGCTTTAGGCATAATCAGCCCAATTCCTTCCGTCATGTCTACCAGCTCTTCACCAACCCTTTCCCACTCAAAGCATTGTATCAAAGCTCCCAAAGCTGCACTCACCACACGGTACGGCAGCCCGTACCCAGGGCACGACCTTCTTCCCACACCAAATGGCAAATATTTGCGACCATCCGGTTCCACTCCCGCTGCATGCCTCTCAGGCCAAAATCTCGTAGGCTCTTCCCAAACAGCGGGGTCCCTGTGAATCGCCCACGCATTAACAAGCAACATGGTCTGTTTCGGAATAGGATAACCTCCAATGACACAGTCTTCCAACGACTCGTGTGGCATTAAAAGCGGCCCTGTTGGATAGAGGCGTAATGTCTCGTAGACGATAGACTGGAGGTACGGAAGCTTGGCGTAGTCGGATTCTTGCACTAGTCGATCGTTGCCAATTACATTGTCGAGTTCAGCTCTTGCCTTGTGGAGGATCTCGGGATGATTTAGCAAGAGTGACATCCCCCATTCCATTGTGTCCGCCGAGCTATCTGTCCCTGCTAGTATCATTGTCTACAAATACCAAAGATCAACTTATAATCTAAAATGACTCGTAACTTAAATTAATGGGTAATAACAGTCAGTAAGTAATTATTACGTACCATAATCTGGCCTTTGATGATCTCATCGATGTAGACTTGAGGCTCAGCTTCCTGCAGACTCAACATAGTATCGATCATCGTCTTCTCGTTGCTGCCTTCCCTCTCTCCATAGCTACTCCGGTGCTCCTCAGTCAAACTGTTATAAACGCGCTGCTACGGATCGGGAAATCGCCGGGATCGACAAAGCAAGAATACGAAAGCGAGAATCGAAAACACGACACACGATTTACGTGGTTCACTAACACGATGTGTGTTAGCTATGTCCACGGGCGAGAGAGAGCCGATTTCACTATATCAAGGAGATTACAGATTACAGAGGAGTATGAGAAGTATTTATAATACTTCTCCATGTGGGTCTAAACCTAATCCAATATGGCAAAGGAAATGGTTACAGACCAGGCCCAGAACCCCACCCGCTGACCGGGCAGTGAGACCCCCGATTACCAGTCGTAGCGGCTGATAGTCCGATTCAAGTCATATCAACAAATCTTCACCTTGACTTGAATCCTCTTCCTCTGAAATCTCTGATGTACTCTGCTCCTTCTCTCTCTCCCGCCATCAATGCCCCGTAGGGCGGAGTCACCCACTCAAGACATTCAGCAAGTCCAAGCAGTGTTGGAACTTGCCATGTGGAACCGGCTTCGTGAACATATCAGCAGGATTATCCGCGGTGCCAACCTTCTTCACCTTAATCCTCTTCTCTGTCCTCAAGAAATGATACCTCACATCGATGTGCTTAGTCCTCTCATGGTGGACTTGATCCTTGGCCAAGCATATTGCACTCAAACTGTCGCAATACACCACTGCCTGATCATGATGTAGACCCAGATCACCAACCAGTCCCTTCAACCATATTCCCTCCTTAGCAGCTTCTGTCAACGCCATATACTCTGCCTCGGTAGTAGACAAAGTCACTGCCGACTGCAGAGTTGCCTTCCAGCTCACTACAGAACTCCCAAGAGTGAATACATAACCGGTCATCGATCTCCTCGCATAGTCCGAGTCAGAATACCCAGACACCAAGCACTCTGTATCACTTCCGAAGCTAATCCCCACATCAGGTGTACCCTTAAGGTACCGAAAGATCCTCTTCACAGCCTGCCAATGCTCCTTCCCAGGTGGTATCATAAACCTGCTAACAACACTAACAGCATGTGCAAGATCAGGTCTAGTGCATACCATAGCGTACATCAAGCTACCTACTGCACTAGCATATGGGACTCTCGACATGTACTCCTTCTCAGCCTCTGACTGCGGTGCATAAGCTGAGGATAGATGAACATTTGAAGCACTAGGAGTATTTAAGGGCTTTGCTGAAGACATGCCAAACCTCGACAATATCTTATGGATGTAGCTCTTCTGTGACAAGAAAAGCTTCTTCTTCGACCTGTCCCTGTAAATCTCCATACCCAAGATCTTCTGAGCAGCTCCCAATTCCTTCATCTCAAACTCAGCACTGAGAAGCCCCTTTAACTTCTGGATATCAGACTTTGACCTCGCAGCTATAAGCATATCATCCACATACAGAACTAGATATATCATCGAACCATCCTCTGCCTTGCTGTGATATACACAACAATCATATGGACTTCTGCTGTAGCCCAGCTCAAGCATGTAACTGTCAAATCTCTTGTACCACTGCCTCGGAGATTGCTTAAGTCCATACAAGGACTTCTTCAGCTTACAAACATAGTCTTCTTTTCCGGGAATCTCGAATCCTTCTGGCTGAGTCATGTAAATTTCTTCCTCTAACTCTCCATGCAAGAAAGCTGTCTTCACGTCTAGCTGCTCGAGCTCCAAGTCATAATGTGCCACTATTGCTAGTAGCACTCTGATCGAAGTATGTCTGACCACTGGTGAGAAAATCTCATTGTAGTCAACTCCTTCCCTCTGCGAGAAGCCTCGTGCAACCACCCGAGCTTTAAATATCATGCCCTCTTTAGAAGTGATTCCTTCCTTCTTCTTGTAGATCCACTTGTTTGTAACAATCTTCCTTCCCTGTGGTCGTTTGACTAGCTCCCAAGTCTGATTCCTGTCATGGGATTCCATCTCATCTCCCATTGCGGCAAGCCACTGATCAGCTTCACCACCCGAAACTGCTTCTCTATAGGACTGTGGCTCTCCTGCATCCACTTCCTCAGCAACCTGAAATGAATACGCCACCATGTCCTCGAAGCCATACCTCTGTGGAGGTACTCCTGCAGTCGCTCTCTTCGGTCTACCGGAAGCAATAGACTGTTTAGCTCGTGCACTGGACTCTGAAGTTTCTGGCTCTGCAGAGACATCCTCATCATGTTGATCTTCTCCACCTTGGTGCTCAAACTCACTCTCATTGAGAGTTTGCAGCTCCACCTGTTTATCAACATTCCTGCTACCTTCAACAACAGTAACCTTCAACATGGGGTTAAACATAGACTTCTCATCAAATATCACATTTCTACTAAGTATAACTCGATGCTCAGAAGGTGACCAGACTCGAAATCCCTTAACTCCATCTCCGTAACCCACAAATACACCCTTCTTTGCCCTTGGGTTCAATTTACCCTCATCCACATGATAATAAACAGGACACCCAAAAACTTTCAGTGAAGAGTAATCAGCAGGCTTACCATACCACACCTCATAAGGAGTCTTACACTCGATACCTGTGTGAGGTCCACGGTTGATCAGGAAGCACGCCATGTTTACTGCTTCTGCCCAGAATCTTCTCTCTAGTCCAGCATTAGAGAGCATGCACCGTGCTCTCTCCAACAATGTTTGGTTCATCCTTTCTACAACGCCATTCTGCTGGGGTGTATCTCTAACAGTCCGATGACGGGCAATCCCTTCATCCTTGCAAAATTCGTTGAAATCAGAACTGCAAAACTCCAGACCATTGTCCGTTCGCAGCTTCTTGATCTTCTTACCGGTCTGATTCTCCACCAATGTCTTCCACTGCTTGAACTTCGTGAAAGCCTCACTTTTCTGCTTCATCATGAAAATCCAAGTAAACCTCGAATAATCATCAATAATAGACAGAAAATACCTCCAATGGATTCAACTCGTGAAGGACCCCAACAGTCGGAGTGGAGGTAATCCAGTATCCCCTTCGTCCGGTGGATACCCTTCTTGGGAAACTTGCTGCGATGTAGCTTCCCAAACACACAATGCTCACAGAATTCCAAATTCTGCACCTTGTGCCCGCAAAGAAGATCCCTCTTCGATAGAACTTGCATCCCCCGTTCACTCATATGCCCCAGTCTCATGTGCCAGAGAGTGGTCATATCTTCCTGTTGAACCTGAGATGATGCAACTGCAGCAGAACCAGACAACACAGACCCTTGTAATGCATACAAGGTCCCACGCTTCACGCCCTTCAGTACCTTCCTCGAACCCTTGCAGACATACACAACTCCACCTTTTCCTTTGAAGCTGAAACCCTTGCTGTCGAGTAAACTCAAGGAGATCAGGTTCTTTGTCATTCGTGGAACATGCCTGACATCATTCACGGTACAGAATGAACCATCATGTGTCCGGACCTTTATGGACCCGATTCCAACAACCTTGCAGACAGCTCCATTAGCCATGACCACGTTACCACCATCTATCTGCTCGTAGGTTGTGAAGCAATCCCTGTTCGGAGACATATGGTATGAGGCTGCAGTATCCAGAAACCACACATCACCACGATGTGCCTTCTCATCTACAGCCAAGGCGAGATCGTCTTCAGAACTGTTGTCCACTTGTGCCACGGCAACTGAACCTTGTTTCTTTTGTTGCCCTCTTCTCTTGGGACAGTTGTACTTCCAATGCCCCACTTCCTTACAGTTGTGACAAGCATCACCTGGCTGTGGACCGGGACCCTTGGAATTCTTGCTCGAATTCCCTTTACCAGATTTCTTCTTTCCCTTTCCACCTGTAACAGCCAAACCCGATGCCTCACCACCTGTACCAGATCCGGACGCCTTATGTCTGATCTCTCTCGTATGAAGAGCAGACCTGACATCCTCCAACGACACGCTTTCTTTACCGGCAATAAAAGAATCAACGAAATTCTCATATGAACTCGGCAAAGAAACCAGCAGGATTAGGGCAGCATCCTCGTCATCAACTTGAACATCTATATTACGCAGATCCAGCAAAATAGAGTTAAGTTGTTCGAGATGTTCCCTCAAAGGCGTACCTTCTTGCATCCTCAAGCTGAACAACCGTTGCTTGAGATGCAGCTTGTTGGTTAGAGACTTCGTCATATACAGACTCTCCAGTTTCAACCACAAGCCCGCGCCAGTCTTCTCAGCAGCGACTTCAATGATGACGTCATCAGACAACGATAGCATGATGGTCGAGTGGGCCTTCTCCTCCAGGGTATTCCACTCATCGTCATCGACCGCTGCCTTCTTCTGTTTCGCAGACAGCGGCCCCCACAGCCCTTGCTGTTTTAGTAAAGCCTGCATCTTGATCTGCCATATAGCGAAGCTGTTCTTCCCCGTGAACTTTTCGATCTTCATATTCACCGACGTCATTCTTCTGAATCGAAAACCCTAGCCTGATTTCCAACCGCGGCTCTGATACCACTTGTTATAAACGCGCTGCTACGGATCGGGAAATCGCCGGGATCGACAAAGCAAGAATACGAAAGCGAGAATCGAAAACACGACACACGATTTACGTGGTTCACTAACACGATGTGTGTTAGCTACGTCCACGGGCGAGAGAGAGCCGATTTCACTATATCAAGGAGATTACAGATTACAGAGGAGTATGAGAAGTATTTATAGTACTTCTCCATGTGGGTCTAAACCTAATCCAATCTAGCAAAGGAAACGGTTACAGACCAGACCAGACCCCCGATTACCAGTCGTAGCGGCTGATAGTCCGATTCAAGTCATATCAACACAAACGTTGGAAGAACTCGTCGGTTCCTTTGTGAGCGGCCCACATCCTTCCCTCAAGCCCACTGAAATCGACCCACCTCAGCACCGGCAGGAAATCCACCGGATTCGTCGTCCCACTCAGATCAAACGACTCTCTTATCAACTTCTTAAACCTCTGCCCTTCGTCATCGTGACCCACTTCGCCGGCGTCCGTCCCAAAATATCTCTTTCCGGATGATCCTCATCACGATGTTCATCGACAACCCCATCAGCCTCGACCGCATGTCGACCTCGCGAAAACCCGAACCGCCGGCCGAACCCTTGCCGACCAGGCCGTTGACCAGGTGCTTGACCTCGTCTTGGCGGACATGGAGGAAGGAGTTGAGGCGGGCGGCGGAGAGGATCTCGGAGGCGGAGATGCGGCGGAGGTTGCGCCAGTGCGGGCCGTACGGGGTGTGTCCCAAGGCGGTGCAGTTGTAGCCAAGGATTTTCCAGCTCAGCAAGGCGCGCGGCCGGTCGGCAAAGACGGCGCCGTTTTTGTTGAGGCATTCGTCGGCTAGAGCTGAGGATTGTTGAAATTAATTAAAGTTTAATTAAATAAAGCTGCAAAATATCAGAAAATCCTAGAAGCTAAGTGATGTGTGTGGTGTATACGGGTGTGAAGAAAAAAAATCTGTATGTGTTAGTTGTGCAGAAGTGTGTAGAATCTAATTATATGAGGTTAGTTGTTAGGTGTGATTAAAAAAATGAAGAAAAAGAAAGACCACATGTTAAGGTCGGTTAGGAGGAGTTGAAGGCCTATAAATAGGCTTGTCCATGTACGTTTGAGTAGCAGAGCCAAAAAGAAGAAAGAAGAAGCAAAGAAATAAAATAAGCCTTCTCTACAAAAACCTCTCTGCCAATTCCCTTTTTCCTACCAATCCAATTCTCCTCCAAATAAAAAAAAAAACCCAAGACAATTCCAAGACTACCATTTCCCATACACGTGCCCACCATAGCTATTCCCCAAGTTCTTTTGTGTCATAATCAAACCCATCAAATCAAAAGAAAATAATTCATTTTATTTCCAACAAAGTGGTATTAGAGCCCGAGTTATTCTTAAGTATGCTCTGTGGTTGCAGCGTAGTCTGAACTTCCACATCAGAAAAGAATTTCTCGTGTTTTTGTTATCACAATTTTCCTATGGCCGAAAAATCCACTTTCCCCATTCAATTCCCCCACCTTACCAAAACCAATTATAAAAATTGGTGCATTCGTATGAAAGCCTTGCTGGGATCCCAAGATGCTTGGGATATTGTTGATAAAGGTTACGAGATTCCCGCAGAGGATTCTCGGTTATCTCCTACTGAAAAGGAGGTATTGAGAAAAAATAGAAAGAGTGATCAGAAAGCACTCACTCTCATTCATCAGTGTCTTGATGAATCGATGTTTAATCAAATAGCAGATGCTACCACAGCAAAGGAAGCATGGGAGATTCTGCAAAAGGAAATGCAAGGCGTGGAAGTCAGTCGTCAGCAAACTGAAGCAGTATGGGGAGAAAATTGAAGAGACCAAAGTGGTGGAGAAAATTTTAAGGTCATTATTACCGAAGTTCGATTATGTGGTGGTGGCCATGGAGGAAGCAAAGGACGTGTCAAAAATGACGGTTGATGAAGTCATCGGTTCATTACAAGCCAGAGAGGAAATACTAAATAAAAGAAATGAAGAATCATCAGAACAAGTGTTAGCTACAAAAGCTACCACAGAGGAGAAAGAAGGTGCACGAGGAGGAGGTTACAACAGAGGTCGAGGCAGAGGCACTTACCGAGGCAGAGGAAGAGGAAGAGCCAGAGGAGCATATCAAAGGAGAGACGGAGGAAATTTCACCACGAACAATTATGAAACGTCCACCAGAGCCAGAGGTCGTGGTCGTGGACGTGGAAGAGGAAATTGGAGATCAAATGAAGGTCATGATAAATCCAGCATCCAGTGCTATAATTGCTCGAAGTACGGGCATTATGCATCGGAATGTTGGAGTCCGCCTAAAGAAGTGGAGGAGACAGCAAACAACGTGCAAGAAGAAAAGGTCGAAGGCACATTGATGCTTTCACATCAAGGAGATGAGAAACCGAAAGACAACATGTGGTATCTGGATAATGCAGCAAGCAACCACATGTGCGGTAAAAGAAGCATGTTCGTGGATATGGATGAATCGGTGAAAGGAAATGTCGTATTTGGAGATTCCTCGAAAGTTCCTATCAAAGGCAGAGGAACTATACTCATCCGGCTCAAGAATGGCTCACAGCAATCTATCAGTGATGTGTACTATGTCCCAGACATGACTAGTAACATCCTGAGTTTGGGTCAGCTGATGGAGAAGAATTATGAAGTCCACATGGTGAATCGTCAATTGGAGCTGTTAAATGAGAAAAAGCAGTTGTTGGCCAGAGTCCCAATGTCGAGAAACAAAATGTTCACCCTGAACATTCAAACTGAAATGGCGAAGTGCTTGAAAGCATGTGTGAAGGACAATACATGGCTATGGCATCTGAGGTATGGCCATCTAAATTTTGGAGGCCTGAAGTTACTCGGTCAAAAGAAGATGGTGCATGGTCTACCAGTGATCAATCATCCAGACCAGTTGTGTGAAGGATGCTTAGTTGGAAAGCAATGCAGGGCAAGTTTCCCAAAGGAGTCCCTGTCAAGAGCTAAAGCACCACTTGAGCTCGTCCATGCATATTTATGTGGTCCGATCACTCCAACATCATTTGGCAAGAACAAATACTTCCTACTGTTCATTGACAACTACAGTAGAAAGACATGGGTATACTTCTTGAAGCAGAAGTCAGATACATTTGAAGCATTTAAGAAGTTCAAGATGATGGCGGAGAATGAAAGTGGCCGCTACATCAAAGCAATGAGATCAGATAGAGGGGGAGAATTTATGCTCAAGAAGTTCAGAAGGTTCTGTGAATATCAAGGAATTCGCAGGTTTCTCACAGTCCCACGATCCCCTCAGCAGAATGGAGTTGTTGAGAGGAAGAACAGAACTGTGCTCAACATGGCGAGAAGTATGATGAAGAGCAAGAACCTACCCAAATGAGCTATGGGCTGAAGCTGTTGATTGTGCAGTCTACCTGCTGAACAGGTCACCAACAAAGAGTGTTTGGAATCAAACACCCCAAGAAGCATGGAGCGGAAGGAAACCCACAATCTCTCACCTCCGAGTCTTCGGAAGTGTCGGATATGTGCACGTACCGTATCAAGAAAGGAAGAAGTTGGATGACAAAAGCAAGAAGTACATATTCCTGGGATACTTAGAACACTCAAAAGGTTACAAAATGTTTGATCCCGTGGAAGAGAAGTTGATCATCAGCAGAGACGTGGTAGTTGATGAAAAAGCAACATGGGATTGGACTGCTGAAGCAAAGAAGAATTACACTTTTTATCCATTCACTATGGATGAAAGTGACGATGAACCAGATGGTGATACACCTGTGACAAGTCCACCTAGTCACAGAGAACCTGCCAGCCCAGAATGAGAATCAAGTGAAAGTCCAAAAGAGAGGCCACAGAAGTACAGACGTCTTGAAGAAATTTATGAGGAAACGACAACCATTGAAGGTGATGAATTGACACTCTATTGTCATTTCATTGACAGTGAACCAGTTGATGTTGAAGAAGCCATGAAGGATGAAAAATGGAAGAAAGCCATGGATGAAGAAATTGGAGCAATTGTGAAGAACAAGACTTGGGAGCTTGTGTCGCTACCTGAGAACCAGAAGCCCATCGGTGTGAAGTGGGTATTCAAGGCCAAGAAAAATGCTAAAGGAGAAGTCGTCAGACACAAAGCAAGATTGGTGGCAAAAGGATACAGTCAGAGACCAGGCATTGACTATAATGAAGTCTTTGCTCCTGTGGCGAGAATGGAAAGTATCATGATGGTGATATCTCTCGCTGCTCAAAATGGATGGAAGATACATCAGATGGATGTGAAGTCAGCTTTTCTGAATGGATATCTCGAGGAAGATATCTATATTGAGCAACCTCCTGGATACATCGTTGAAGGCCAAGAAGATAAGGTGTTGAAGCTGAAAAAGGCACTGTATGGTCTGAAACAAGCACCGAGAGCTTGGAATAGCAGGATTGACAAGTATTTTCAGCAAAACGGGTTCAGTAAATGCCCACATGAGCATGCACTATACTGCAAGGTGCAAGGGGGAGCAATATTGATAGTTTGCTTGTACGTAGATGATCTCATCTTCACAGGCAATGATCCTCAAATGTTTGAAGAGTTCAAGAAGACGATGGTTCGAGAATTTGAGATGACAGACATCGGACTAATGTCATACTATCTTGGAATTGAAGTAAGTCAAAAGGAGGAAGGAATTTTCATCTCACAGAGTGGTTTTGCCAAAGAGGTCCTGAAGAAGTTTAAGATGGAGAATTGTAATCCTGTGAGCACACCAGCCGAGTGCGGACTAAAGTTATCCAAGGATGATAAAGGAGAGAAGGTCAACTCAACGGAGTTTAGAAGCCTAGTGGGAAGTCTGAGATATCTGACTTGTACCAGACCAGATATTCTCTACGCAGTTGGATTGGTCAGCAGATACATGGAGGCACCAACTATGTCACACTGGAATGCTGCCAAGAGGATATTACGCTACATCAAAGGTACAATCGATCATGGTTTACTTTATACCAAGTCAGAAAATTTCAAATTGGTTGGATACTGCGATAGTGATTGGGCAGGAGATGTGGATGATCGCAAGAGCACTACATGATTTATATTTTTCCTGGGAGATACAGCTTTCACATGGAGTTCAAAGAAGCAAGCTATTGTGACACTATCTACTTGTGAAGCTGAGTATGTTGCTGCAACATCATGTGCGTGTCATGCGATATGGTTGAGAAAGTTGCTGAAGGAGTTGAACATGACACAATAAGAGTCAACTGAAATTTATGTGGATAACAAGTCTGCCCTGGCGTTAGCAAAGAATCCGGTGTTTCATGATCGCAGTAAGCACATTGATACGAGATATCATTTCTTACGAGAGTGCGTGGAGCAGAAAGAAGTGATGCTGAAGTATGTGAAAACTGAAGACCAGATTGCTGATATTTTCACGAAGCCACTGAAGCAAGATGTGTTCGTCAAAATGAGGACGCTACTCGGAGTCACGGTTAATTAAACTTTAAGGGGGAGTGTTG